AAAGAAAATGCCCTGGAACGCAAACTCTGTTTTTTTTGGTCACCCCTGAGCCGCCCCGAAGGCACTTTTAGAGTCCCTGCGGCGCGTGCGACCGTGCGCTGCGCTTTTCGGTGAGTACTTTGCGCGGTAATGGGTGGTGGGGAGGCATGCGAACCCTGCCACTGGGGCCTTCGGTGGAGCTCCCTATGGGGCCACGAAACGTGTGAGGGGTGTGCCGAGATGGGTGGTGGGGAGGCATGCGAACCCTGCCACTGGGGCCTTCGGTGGAGCTCCCTATGGGGCCACGAAACGTGTGATGCAGATGCGGAGGCCAAGTGCATTCGGTATTTTTTCACAGGGATGGTTGGTTGGCTTGCGCGCAGCGAACCGTATGACGGCACCCCAGCAGTCAGTGTCAAAAACCTGTGCAAGATGGCCGCGGGGCGCCCGTGACGGCTCCAGATGCCCAGGCAGAGTGCATCATAGCGGTAGTCCCAGCAGCGCACGTTCCGCCTCCACCAACGGTCCCGTCTCAACTACCACCGCCTCGAAGTCCTCCTCGGCTGATGCCGGGTCAATTCCGTACACCTTGCGCAACTTGATGCCTGCGGCATCGCCCGTCGAGGGCCACGCGTCCTGATGGCGGCGATGTCGCCGCCGTCAATGGCCTCACGCCGCTCTACGTACAAGTCGCCGCCAGGGGCTAGGATGAAACACCAGTTCGTCCCCGTGCTGATCGATCTCACCAACAGCCTCGTAAGCCAAGTCGCAGCGCCAGGGGACTTCACCAGTCTGAATCCTCCTGGGCGTAGACCACTCAGGCACCAGGTGGAGGCTTGACGCGAAACTTCCCCATACCTCACTCTGCCAAGCGTCTCCCACCAGCCCTTTGGGCGTGAGTGGTTTAGAGAGCTCTCTCTGTTCTCAACCCCCCTTCTTCCCCTTCGGGGAGGGGTTTACCCCTCCCCCTACCCCCTCCCCCTGGGCCTGGAGAGGGCGCCTCGCGGGTGGTCAGAGGGGTCTTTTTCGACTCCTCGGAGGGCTAAACAACGACACCCCTCACAAGGATTCTGGCCCCGACGGGGGGAGGCAAACCCCCCCCCCCCCATCTTTGATCGATCGCCCGAAAGTAGGCCCCAAGATACCTCCCACACTCCTCCCAAAGAGCCCCAAGAGGCCCCAAGAGGCCTCCAAGAGGCCCCCAAGATGCCCCCAAGAGGCCCCCAAGGGGCCCCAAGAGGCTCCCCCGAGGCACCCAAGACGCTCCTGGAAACCCCTGGGGCCGCCCAGAGGCACCCAAGACGCCCCAAACGGCCTCCAAGAGGCTCCCAAGAGGCCCGAAGAGGCTCCCCCAAGGCACCCAAGACGCTCCTAGAAGCCCCTGGGGCCGCCAAGAGGCCCCCACGACGCCCCAAAAGGCCTCCAAGAGGCTCCCACAAGACACCACGAGGAACCCGAACGACTCACACCAGGACGAGGGGCCCGAACGACTCACACCACGAAGAGCCCGAACGACTCACACCAGAAGGAGGGGCCCGAACGACTCACACCAGGACGAGGCGCCCGAACGACTCACACCACGAGGAGCCCGAACGACTCACACCACGACGAGGGCCCCGAACGACTCACACCACGAGGAGCCCGAACGAGTCACACCAGGAGGAGGGGCCCGAACGACTCACACCAGGACGAGGGGCCCGAACAACTCACACCACGAGAAGCCCGAACGACTCACACCAGGACGAAGAGCCCGAACGACTCACACCACGAAGAGCCCGAACGACTCACACCAGGAAGAAGGGCCCGAACGACTCACACCAGGACGAGAAACCCCAAACGACTCAAATCACGAGGAGCGCTTTCTCTCCCTCCTCCTCCGCCTCGTCCTTCTCCCGCTCCCCCCACAAGGAGGATGTACACGGAGGCGGGAGGAAGGAGGAACAGGGGAGATATGCGGGGGCAGGCGGAAACACGCCTGAAAAACACGACTGTCGGCATGCTTCGCAAGAGTTGCTGTTTTGAGATGGGCTGGTGGGGATACGCGAAGCGTAAAGAATTCCCCATACCTGACTCTGCCAAGCGTGAGCCCTATGCCACAGCTGCAGAATGACACCAAAAACAGGACGGGCGGTATGAGGACGGCCAAGCGCGCGCCGAGCGATCACGATGCTTGGCAACTCTCCGCCACGACGTCGAAACGCTTATCGCAGCTCTGAGCAACAGTCCGCCACCCCTCGCAGGCGGCGGTCACCACCTCGTTGCTCGAGACGCCCGAACGATCGTACCAGTTCAAGAAGCCCACGGTCACCCAACGTGGTATTTTGGAGGGTCTCAGATGGACGGTGGATTCTCTTAGGTACGCGAAATACGCCTATAAGAGCAGCTGGCCAATCCAATGAGTAGGCCAACCCTCTTGCCTTCGACCATCAAGGTGCGGAGTCGGCGACAAGGAGGCCGGGACAATAATCCCATGCTGACAGTGATGATCATGATTCTGCTACTCATGAGGATGGTAGGATGGTGATGATGATGATGATGATGATGATGATGATGATGATGATGAGGATGATGATGATGATGATGATGATGATGATGATGATGATGATGATGATGATGGCGACGATGATGATGATGTTGAGGGTGATGGATTTTATGCTGATTGTGATGGTGATGCTGATCGTGATGACGATGGTGATGATGTTGTTGATGATGATGCTGCTGATGCTGATGCTGGTGATGATGAAGAGGAGGACGATGCGGCAGCGGCAGCGGCGGAAGCAGCGGCGGTGGAAGCGGCGCTTCAAGCGGCGGCGGCGGCAGTGGCGGCGACAGGATTGTCAGTGGCAGCCGCGGTGGCAGCGGCGGCGGCAGAAGCGTCGTCTGAAGCGGAAGCATCGGCGGAAGCGGTGGCAGGCGAAGGCGACGACCAGAGGGAAGCAGCGAGCCTCCCAGACCTCCGACGACTCGATTTGGTTTCGTGTTTTCTCTGGACAACCCGCGCAGTACTTCTTCTCCTCCCACCTTCCTCTTCTCCCTTCGCACAATCACTCACTCAATCACTCACACACCATCATCGAAAGAAAAACACCAGCCTTTTTCATCACCGCTCAAAACATGAACATGTCTCGCTCAATCACTCACACCGTCACCATCAGTCGCACTCACCATACACGATCAATCTCTCTCACACACTCAACTCATCATCCACATCACCATCATCAGACTCAATTATCCCAGTGCGACCCTACCTAGGAGTTGGAGCATTTAGGAACGCAACAGTTACATCTACACCGACAGCTACATTTACACCTACACCTGCATCTACATCTACATCAACATCAACAGCGAGACTCACATCTACTTCTACGTCTACACCTACATCTACACCTACATGTACACCTACATCTACATCTACACCTACATCCACACCTACACCTACACCTACATCTACATCTACAGCTACACGTTCGCATTGGTTTTGTGTTTTGCTTTGCATTGCCTTTGCTTTTGCTCTTGCCTTTGCGTTTGCCTTTGTCTTTGATTATGCTATGCTCTGCTATGCTATGCTATGCTGTGCTATGATATGCTATGATATGCTATGCTGCGCTGTGCTATGCTATGGTATGATATGCTGCGCTATGCTAGGCTATGTTATGATAGTATATGCTGCGCTATGCTATGCTATGCTATGCTGTGCTATGCTATGATATGCTGTGCTATAACATGATATACTGCGCTGTGCTATGCTAATCAGTGCTATGCTATGCTATGCTATGCTATGATATGCTATGCTATGCTATGCTGCGCAATGCTATACGATGCTATGCTATGTTATGCTGAGCTATGCTATGCTATGCTTGGCTATGCTTGGCTATGGTATGCTATGCTATGCTGTGCTAATGCTGCGCTGCGCTATGCTGCGCTGCGCTGCGCTAAGCTAAGCTAAGGTAAACTAAGCTATGCTAAGCTAAGCTAAGCTAGGCTGGGCCAGGCTAAGCTAAGCTAAGATAAGCCAAGCTAAACTAAGCTCAGCTAAGTTTACCTAAGCTAAGCTAAGCTAAGATGAGATAAGCTAGGCTAAGCTAAGCTAAGCCAGGCTAGGCAACGCTAAGCTAAGCTAAGCTAAGATGAGATACGCAAAGCTAAGCTAAGCCAAGCTAAGCTAAGCTGGGTGAGCCCAGGGGGCGTAACTGGGGGAACCGCGGGGCGGATCCTGGGGGAACCGCCCGGGGCGTATAGCACTGCCCGGCCCTTTAAGCCCACACGGTAAGAACCCTTCTAGGCAGAGCCTGGGTAGGGAACATCTCGCGAATTATCACCATCTCAACAACATCAGGAACAATTTCACATCATCCTCTTCCCCATCCTTCTTATCTCCTCATCATCATCATCATCACCATCACCATCACCATCACCATCACCATCACCATCACCATCACCATCACCATCATCAGCATCAACATCAGCATCAGCATCAGCATCAGCATCAGCATCAGCATCAGCATCAGCATCAGCATCAGCATCATCATCATCATCATCATCATCATCATCATCATCATCATCATCATCATCGCGTGCACACGCATACGGGCATCTAAAGGAAGTCTCGAACGGGAGCCCCGTCTGTAAGTGAACTGCGGGGAAGACTCAGGCGGGAGCCCCCTTCCGATGGGGCCCGCAAATCATGTTACTCATCCGAGCGGGCCATCCGAACCCTGTAACTGTCGTCACTTTCGGGCCCCTGAGCCTTGAATCTGGAAGGAGTCTCGTGCGGGAGCTTCGTCCGTGAGTGAGATGCGAGGAAGCCTCAGGCGGGAGCCTCCTCCCCCTATGGGGCCCGCAGATCATGTTACTGATACGAACGGTCGCGTTCGGGCCTGCGCAAGGGCGGGGAGGGGAATGGCGCAGAGGAGACAGTAAGGGCGCCTCACCAATCACGAGGACGACGATGAAGGTTATTTCCAGATTGGCCGAGAGGATTCTCATTTGAGGTCCTACCTTCGGAATAAGCTTGTTTCTGGGGTAGTTGCCCCAAGGCCCTCAACGGGCCCTGGACGCCGAAATCGCGGACAGACGCGTGCGTCGTTCCTTGTGTCAAGTCGTTGCAGGTCTGGGATCGAGCATCGGCGCGCCCCGCAGATTGCTGGAATGCCCTTCAGGGGGCCATCTCAGTCGGCACCCTCGGGGGGGGAGGGGGGCGGGGCGCCGTAAACGCTTCCCGAGCTCAGCCGTCCCCGCCCCAAGGCCAACGCGCTCGGCTTTCCCTTCTCCTGCCCTGCCCCTGATCTGTCCTCATCTTCCCCCTTCTCGTCCTCCGCCACATCATCATCCTCCCATCATTCCTTTTTGTCCTCCCCCTTCTCCCCCTCCTCCTCTTCCACCGCAACATTATCCTCCTCGTCCTCCTCGTCCTCCTCCCGTCCTCCTCCCATGCAACCGCCACCACACCATCCTCCCACCTCTTCTCCCTCTCCTCCTCCGCCACATCGTCCTCCTGCTCCTCCCCCTCCCCACCCAAGTTCTCCCTTCTTCTCCTGCATCTGCTCGTCCTCGCCGCCCCTCGTCCTCGTCGCACCCCTCCGCAGAGGCCCTGGAGTCACACCTGCACTTCCAACAACCGAAACGATCGTGTTCGATCCCTGGCACGCAGTGGAGTTCTCTGGGCCTCGTCGAAAACATCCAGAGTCACACGTGAAATCCATGGGGCTTGGTCTTCTTGTGCGCTTGTCATATCGCGTGTTTTTCCAACGCTGAGAAAGGTTGCCGGATTTGGGGCACTCCCGCGCGCACGCCAAAAATCTGGTGCCAGCGTTGGTAGCGCTGCCCCTGCAACTATGAATGTCAATGGCTTTTATCCTCCTCTTCCTCCTCCTCCTCCGCCTCGTCGTCCTCCTCCTCCTACTCCTCCTCCTCCTCCTCCTCCTCCTCCTCCTCCTCCTCCTCCTCCTCCTCCTCCTCCTCCTCCTCCCTCCCTCCCTCCTCCCTCCCTCCCTCCCTCCCTCCCTCCCTCCCTCCCTCCCTCCCTCCCTCCCTCCTCCCTCCTCCTCCTCCCTCCTCCCTCCTCCCTCCTCCCTCCTCCCCTCCCTCCTCCCCCTCCTTCCTCCTTCCTCCTTCCTCCCCCCTCCCCCCTCTTTCCTCCTTCCTCCCCCCTCCCCCTCCTCCCTCTTCCCTCCTCCCTCCTCCCTCCTCCCTCCCCCCCACCTCCCTCCTCCTCCTCTTCTTCCACTTCCTCCTCCCCCTTCCTCCCCTTCCTCCTCCTCCTCTCCTCCTCCTTCTCCATCCGCCCCTTCCCGTCCTCCTCCCCTCCTCCTCCTCCTCCTCCTCCTCCTCCTTTTCCTCCTCCTCCCTCCTCCCTCCTCCTCCACCCCAGCATGGCGAGGGGCTCGTCCTGGACCCGGCGCGGGACGACTGCAGCTGCGGGCTCCGCCTCACCTTGCAGCCCCCGGCCGCGGGCAGACGCACGGGCCGGCCCGCGGTGGCAGCAGGCCGGGGGCGCGGCCGTGCCGCGGGCCTGCTTGGGGCCCCGCGCCTCGCCGCTGCGCGGGGACTCCGATGGGGGCGTGCAAGAAAGGGGTTCGCAAGTCATGGCCCGAGGCAAGCGGGGGGGACCAGGGGAACGGTTGAAACAGAAGTCGGGGCCACGAACCCGGGGCAGATATCATGGCCCTGCCATGATATGCCCCCCCCCCCTCCCCCCTCATCATGATCCCGCTTCTAGCCGCCCCCGAGTTTCGCAGCGTGCAGCCGCCCGCAGGCCAGGGTGCAGCACGACCTGGGAGCTCCTTCAAGCGGACTGGCCTCGACCACAACGTTGGACACAATCGGCACTGACGTGTGCCGCTGTTGCTGCCTGGGTCGCAGCAGGCTTCCCTGAGATCTGCATGGTCTGAGATGGCCGCCCTTCCGTCGTCGTCGTCGTCGTCGTCGTCGTCGTCGTCGTCGTCGTCGGCTGTGGTGCCACTTCGCCCGCGGAGGAGCACGCGTGCGAGCGTGCGTGCAGCGACCCGCGCGGGGCGCCCCGCAGGCGGGCGCGGCGCGTGGCCCTCCCCAGGCGACGCCAGGGGCGTCCGGGGGCCTCCCGCCCGGGGGTTGCGCAGGGGGTGGTCCCGGCTCGGAGAGGTGCTCCCAGCCTTTAGCCCCGCCGTTCGCGGCCCTCGGGGGCCCTCTGGTCCTCGCAAGGGGTGCTCTGGATGCCACCTGGGCCTCCTGCCCGGGGGCTGCCATGGGGTGGTCCTGGCTCGGAGAGGTGCTCCCAGCTCTTCGCCCCACCGTTCGCGGCCCTCGGGGGCCCTCGGGTCCTCGCAAGGGGTGCTCTGGATGCCACCTGGGCCTCCCTGGAAAAGCTGGGTCCGCCCTGAGTCAGGGCCGCTTCTGGCAGCACCCGATCCTGGCGGCCGCCTCCCATCTCCTCCCCTGCTGCATCGGTCCGATTAGCGCGTGCATGAGCCGCACCCGCGTAACCGCAGTTTCTGGATGGCTCTTTGCAGCTAAAACGGTTTCAATGAAAGGAACTGGGCTGTGGTAGTATCCAGCCGCCCTCGCACGTTCGCTGGTCAGACCGCAGCAGTCCTTGACCTGGCAGCGAGTCCCGCATTCCACCCACTACTCGTTCCCACTACGTGTGCGCGAGACCAGGGGGAAGCGCCGAATCAGCGCTGCCCAGCTGTGTGCGAAGCGCCAGGCACGCCCTAGGCAGGCCGTCGCGAGCGTGCCCCATGGCGAGCCAGGCACATCGTCGTGCGAAGAGTCTGCGGACGAGTAAACTGCGAGGCTTCCAGGAGCGCCCACGTGCGCGCGCGGACGTCGCAGAGCGCTCCGCTATCGGGTTCTTGGACGACACGAGAGAGCCTGCCCCCGCCGCTGACCTACATGTGCCGCGCCGCCCCGCCGGGGAGCGCGCGCATGCACTTCGGCACCGCGCAGGGTCCTGGCAGCAGTGAGCACTGGCGGCACGAAAATCCGCAGATCAAGGGATCGTGTGAGAACCACGACCGACGGTGTTCGGCCCCTGCTTCAGGCAGGCGCCCTCGCATATCGACCTGGCTCGAGATTTCTGCACTCTAGGATTGGCCGCGCAGCCGTGAGCGCCACCGATGGGTGACTGCGCTTCTTCGTAGTGCCAGCGTGCGTAAAGGCTGCCTTTGCATTGCCAGCGCTATTCGCACCATAGCCCTCTAACGCGGCGGACGAAGGGGGGGGGTACCAAAGGGAGGGTTGGCGAATCAGCTCACGTAGCTTGTTTTCGCGGCGCGGTGGCCAATTAGGCCCCGTAGTGCCCCTCGGCTGCCTTCGACCGCGGCGCGGATCGGCACCGCTGCGACCACAAACATTCTCGCGGCGCCCAGAGGTGCCAATGATGTATCAGGGAAAGCGCTAGGCGGCGGGGCCGAAAACAGCTGCATGCAGCAGAGGTCATAAGCAACCCTTTCCCTGCCCATATCCCCCCCCTTTCGTCCGAACGGGCTCCGGCACAACTGAGGCAGACAGAGTGGGGGCGGGAGCTCCGGCCGCGGCTCTTCACCTCGCCGACTCTCGAGTGAAGAGATGGGCGGTGCGCAACAGGAGGGCAAGGCCGGAGACGGGTGTGCATATCTGTGTGTGCGCGAGGGGGGCGCGGGCAGGCCCCGCTCCGTTCCGCGCCCCCGCAAGCGCACCGCCAGCTGCCGCCCCTCGTCAGCTGCCGCCCCTCGTCCACCCGCCCCAGTTGCTCCCCCTCCCGTATCCAGGCTCGCAGCCCCACAAGCGACGCCGACCCCGCATCCCCGCATCAGCGTCCGGGGCTGCCGCGGCCAGCAAACCTCCCTGCCCCTCCATCGGGGAGTGGGGACCCTATACTTGCCCAGACGCCCATCGTCGAGCTCCCCAAGAACGAGTTGGTGCTGGTGGTCCGAGGCCGGGTGCAACTGGCGCTACTTTCTGGAGCGGTCGCGGATCACCCAGGGCGACCCCGCGCGCTGTACGGACGAGGCAATCTGGCGCAGCCCCGCGGTACGTCCCAGCGCAAACCTACCTCACTGGCGACCTCCTCGCGCGCGTCCCCCCGAACCCATGCCACGCTCTGCAAAAGTCCCGTGACTTTCCCCGCTCCGTGGGCGCTGCCTGGCCCCGCCCCGAAGCGTCCACCTTCTGCGGGAAGTCCGCCTGGTTCGGCGGCGTGGCGCCAGGCGCGGCCCTCGCGTCCCATCCGCGAGCCGGCAGGACCCAAGCGCGCCCTCAGGACCAGTGAGCCGGCTGCGGGGAAGGCTGCTCCAGCCGCCCACGGGCCGCCTCCACGGTCCTGTTCCGGGGGTCGGGCCGGCTACACGCAAGAGTGACCCTGGGTAAGAGTGACCTTTGGTGCGCGGCTTCTTCTGGGCCGCGGGGAGGCCCAACCCGAGCGCGCAAGACGCTGCTACCGCCTCGCGTGGAATCACTTGGGGGCCCCAGTGTGCCCGCACCAAAGGTCACTCCAGCGAAAGGTCACTCTCACGTCTAATCGAGTCGGGCCGCTGACCCCGATGGGGCCCGGTCCCGCCTGCCCTCCTCGGGTTGGCTGCTGTCGCTCCCCTCGAGCCCCAGGGCTGGCGGCGCCCCCTGCGGCAGCCGACGCCCACGGCGGGAGGCCTGTCGATCCGGGTCAGCGCAGCCAGCGCTCACCGCCGCCACCAGCCGACGGGCACCGCTGGGGCCCCGCCACCGACGGGCCCGACGGTCCCCAGGCGATCGGGGCCTGGCCTGTCTCCGGCAGCGGCGCGGCCTCGGCCCACGCCCAGTCCGCTCCAGGGCCCCTCCGTGCCGCGCAAGGCCCTGCGCGCTTTAGCAGCGCAGGCCTCAATGTGGGCCGATGGGAGGTTGGAGGGCGCTGCGATCATTCGCGCGCAATGGCGCCCCTGGTTTGCCGGGCACGGCGCCAAGGCCGCGACCAACAGCGCGAGGAGGGGCCCTCCGGCCCCGATCGACTTCCTGGTCGATCTCTCCAACCAACGTTTCGAACCCCTCGGCGCCGATCTTCTGCAGGGGGCGCCCTCTCCGGCCCCTTCTGGCAGCAGGTCCCCGGGCCTGCAGAGGACGCTGCGGCTCCCCGCACGCGGCCCGCCTCGCGACCCAACTCTGGGCGCGGCCGCCGGGCGCGTCGCAGGAGGAGGAGGAGGAGCGAGGAGGAGGAGGAGGAGGAGGAGGAGGAGGAGGAGGAGGAGGAGGAGGAGGAGGTCTCCCCGGTCCACTTCGCATGCCTTGCCCCGGCATCTTGCGCCGGAGCGGCGTGCATCCCCTCCCTGCCATCCACGCCCGGCTGTGCTGGCTGGCGCCCCTCCTTCTTCTCATGCTTAGCCACGTCGGGAAGGTCCCTTCTCTGGCTGGCGGGTCTCGTCACTGCCCTTCACGCCAGGATGTGCTGTATGGCGGTAGGTGCAGCGGGACCCAAAGAGATTCCTGAAGGCCCGGCCACGGCTCTGGGATCTGTACTTACCCTGTCTCCGCCTCTGCGAGCGCGGGGCCGCTACCGCCAAAAAACGGTGTGTGCGCGAGGGAGGGGTCAGGGAACCAACCCTGCCCGAGATCCGTAGGATGAAGACGATCGGGGTTTTCTAATCTGACGACGAGAACAACACCTGGCCCAGAAGGGCAGTGGATGAGGAGAGGATGCAGGCAAGATAGCAGACGCACACTGGGGGGGTTCGGCCTTCGGGAGAGAGATTGGCCCCGAGCTCTCCAGAAGGCGTGGGGCGTCCAGTCCCAGACCCCCGACGTCGTGAGAAACTCACGACGTCGGCCCCCCGAAGTTCTGGAGACCTTCCCTGGGACCGGTTTTCCATCCCGAGTCGTGTTTTGACGCTCCCGAGGCCCGGCGAGGGCCTCCAGAGGCCGAAAATTGTCAAAAACCTTCCTCGTGAGTTTCTCGCGACGTCGGAGGTCTGCGGTCCTCAAGAATGGGGGGGTCCCTGATCGAGGCCGCAGGGCACAGCCAGAGGCCTGCCAAGCCGGCAGGAGTCTCCGGGCAGTCGGCGCCTCGCAGGTGTCAGCCACGGACGGCCCGGCCGCTCCAGGTGGAGCGAGCGAGGAGGAGGAAAGGAAAATACACACAGACACAAGTAATCGTCGATTCCCAAGAAAATATAAGAAAATACGGGAATTGGGGGGGAAGACAAAAACCTAGAAGATATGGGAACATATGGGGAATCCTGTTATTTGTGTCTACCTATTTGTGTGTCCCAGGGCCCCTTCAGAGGAGGAGGCATGCTGCGGAAAGACGCTCCGATGCAGCGCTGGGTGCATGAACGCCGTCGTCATACACGCGAGGGTAGGAGGGGGGGCCATATCCCGACAGCCGTGATTTTTGACGATATGCTGGTCTCGAGGATCTCGACCCCTTCCCCGTGACGGGTTTGTCCTCCTGGGTGTTCTTTTGACAGGCCTGGGGCTCGCCACTGGCCCCTAGAGGCCGAGATTGAAGAGAACGTCAAGATTGCAAAAACAAAACAAAAATCTCAGACAAAATTCGCTGAGAATCAATCGCGGGCCCTGCCTGATGCTTATCCCGGACCGCTTTTCGAGCTGCGTCCGGCCGCGGCGACGAAGGAGTCCCCCCGAAAGCAGAAAGGCTATCAAGACGTGTGCGAGCAAGATTTCCCCCGAAAGCGAAGGGGCGGAGATCATACCGTGGAGATCACACGGTGGCGCAGGGGGCACAGGCCAACGGGGGGCGATGCGCGGGCGCATGACGGGTGGAGCGCAGGAGGGCCCAACGTGGCGCAGCGCCCGAGCCCATCGCTTTAGACGCTTTGGAAGCATCTAGCAGGCCGTCGAGCTCGCCGCGCCTACACAGGAGTAACACTTGCGGCTCGAGGTTACTGCAAAAGAGAACAGAACAACACATCATACATCGAGGACGCAGAGCAAGGGCAAGGCTCCCGATCCGTGCAAACACTGTTCGTTGATCCGTGCCCGCCTGCCTAGATCTTGTCCCGTTCCGTGCCCATCGCTCCCGCCAGACCTCCTCCTCCTCCTCCTCCTCCTCCTCCTCCTCCTCCTCCTCCTCCTCCTCACACCCGCTCCGATCCAGATCCTACCGAAAGCTCTCACGCCCGCCTGCCGCACGGGGCCGGCCGCGCCGTGCTCGCGGCGCTGGACTGCGTCACGGCGCGCGCGCGCGCCCTTCGGGAAGGTTCCCTCCGTCGGCCAACTAAGGCTGCCCGCCGAGAGCCGGATCTGGTCCGAGGGGCCCGTCATCTCCTCCAATATGGCCAAGCCGCCCACCTTGCCGTTCGCCTTGGTGATGTGGTCGCCGGGCCGGACCTGCGCAGGCGCGGGGAGACACGGGGAGGCGTCAGGAGCTGAATTCGGGGGATTTGAGTTGGCCAGGCGGGGCCGTCAGGATCGAGTAGAGGATCGAGTGCAGAACTCATTCACCCCAAACTTGATTTCCTCGTCGAGTGTACCATGAGCATGTAGATTTGGTGCGTGGATCTACGGAACATTCAAATGTTTGCCGTAGATTCGATGAACATCAAGTTTGGGGTAATTCAATTTTGTGGTCCATTCCCCGGCGCGCGTCTGCCGCGCGAGAGTGCCTGCTTGGAATACGTCGCTGAATTTCCGGGATGTCCACGAAACGGGACAAGGGGGTTTCTGAATGCCTCCTTGGGGAGGCTCGGGGAGCTGGCTTTCTGATGATGTCCCACGCGAGGGCGCCGATTTGGAATTCGTCGCCAAATTTCCCGGATTTCCGGGAAACGGAACAAACGGCTCCTAAGGGCCTCCTTGGGGAGGCTCAGGGGGGCAATTCTCTGAAGATGTCTCGCGCGAAGGCACCGGTTTAGAATTCGTCGCCGGATTTCTCGGATGTCCTGGAAACGGGGCCAGGGGCTCTGAGGGCCGCCTCCAGGGAGGCTCGGGGAGGCAATTTTCTGAACACGTCCCACGCGAGGGCGACGGTTTGGAATTCGTCGCTAGACTTCCCTGATTTCCAGGGGTCCCTCTCAAAGCCTTTTGGGGGGGCTTGGAGGGCTCGTTTTCTGAGGATGTCCCGCGCGAGAGCGCCGGTTTGAAATTCGTCGCTGGATCTCCCACATTTCCCGGAATCCGAAACAGCCCTCTGAGGGCCTTCTTGGGGAGGCTCGGGGGGCAGTCTCCTGAGGATGTCCCACGCGGCAAAGGCTCTGGTTTGGCATTCGTCGCCGGATTTCCTTTATTTCCTAAAAACTCAGCAAGAGGCCCTCTGAAGGCCGCCTCTGGGGAGGCTCGGGGGGCCGGTTTTCTGACTATGTTTCACGCGAGGGCGACGGTTTGGAATTCTTCGCCAGAATTCCCAGATTTCCTGGAAACTCAACAGGGGGCCCTCTCAGGGCCTCCTTGGGGAGGCTCAGTTTTCTGGAGATCTCCCACGCGAGGGCGCTAGTTTGGAATTCGTCGGAAGATTTCCCAGATTTCCCGGAAACGAAACAGGGGGCCCTCACAAGGCCTCCTTGGGGCGGCTCGGGGGGCCAATGTTCTGAGGATGTCCCACGCGAGGTTGAAATCCGTCGCTGGATTTCCTGGATTTCCCTGCGGTTGGCGGGCTCATTCCTTCGCGCGCCAGGGGCCAGGATGACGTGACCCTCGAATTACCTCGAGTAACGCTACTTGCAAGGACAGCGCGTAAGAAAGACACGAGAGTAATGGGCGGGCACACTCCGACGGGGCTTTGCTGCATCTTTGCCGCCAATTCGTCCGCTGCGCCTCCGCTGACCCGGGCGCGCAGAAGCATGCCTCGCGCCCGGGACACCCCGCCAGGCTGGTGGTTGTTCATCCAGTGCGCCGCTGCCCGCGCGTCTCCGCGGCCACGGAGGCGGGGATGCCCTCTCCCGTAGATCGCAGCTGGGTGCTCCCGCTCGCGGGTCTCTCGGCAATTCGGCCTCGGGGCCGACCTCTGCGGAGCACCTCTGGGTCCGTCCAATGCTCGAGCCTGCCTCTGGTGTTCAGCGATGTCGCGACCAAGACGGATAATTACGCTGTGTTGATGGTCTGATGGTGTCCTGCCAAGTGTAATATAGATTCTTCGCATGCCGCAGTTGTGCCGCGGCTGCTACGGGGCAGGCGTCGCTTACACCGCCCCAGGCCCTCTCGATCCAAAGGCCCGCTGGTCAGCCAAATCCAACCGCAAACAGTCCGCAGATGTTGAACAAGCAAGATTGCCAATCATCGAAGGGAGGGGAGAGAAGGGAGATGAACGGATGCGAGGGTATCGTGGACATGTTACGGTGCCGAGGCGGGAGCACGACTTCGATGGAAATTACCATGTCGCTGTTGGCAGTTTCGGCTCCAGGACATTTCAATATGAGAACGCTTCAGCCGAGAGCGCGCTTTTTGGAAACGGTGCCGCTTTCCCATGCATGCAGTTGCTGAGAGCGCTGAGCCTGAAAATCTCAGATCGCGATGTTGTCTCAGCAGAAAGCGCGACCTTCACGGAGCACCTCCCACCATGTGAACGGTTTCTTACTCGACGATTCGACATTGGCGGAAAGGGGGGAGGTGGGGGTCTGTCTCTGGACCTCTGCTTCATGCGACTGTTTGCAACATGTGTCCTATGGGGCCAAAAACAGCCAATGTCTACTCCATGGGAACGAAAGAGGCGGTGCGAGGGCCCACGCCGATCGGCAAAACATTGCATTAACAACGATCACCATCCGGGGATTTGCTGGTTGTGATCGCAAGTTGTTGCGGAATAGGGCGCGAAGCGCCTGGCTCGCCGATCGGCACGTGCCAGGCTCTGTAGCGACGGGGGGTTCTTCAAAAGGGGAGGAGGAGGAGGAGGAGGAGGAGGAGAAAAAGGAGGAGGAGGAGGAGGAGGAGGAGGAGGAGGAGGAGGAGGGGGAGGAGGAGGAGGGAAATGGAGGAATATTGCGGGAGATGAAAGAGATGGAGGAGGCCAACCCAGGCCTGAAGGGCCAGGGTGCGCTCGAAGTTGCGGTTCCAGACCGCCACGAGCCCCTCGTTGATGGCCTCCACGCGGAGAGACGCGCCGGTGTCTGTCACCTTGGCTGGGCCAGCCGCGCATACCAAAAAGGCACCGACGAGGTCTTGGGCGGCCTCCCGTTTCCTCCTTGTTCCTTTTGCTTTTCCTTCCTCTTTTTCTTCATCTTCTCTTGTTGTGTGTCATTCCTCCTTGTTCGTTGGTTTATATATATATATATATAAAAATATATCATTGTTGTTCTTGTTTTTCTTATTATTATTCTTATTCTTATTCTTATTCTTATTAATATTACTATTCGTATTATTATTAGTATTATTATTATTATTATTATTATCATTATTATTACTATTATCATCCTCCTTGTTTTGTGTTTTTGTTTCCTCTTCTTATTTGTATGCGTATGAATATTATTTATCCTGTTATCCTTCCTCTTTCTTCCTCCTCGTCCCTCCCACCCCGTCCTCCCGCCGCCTTCATCCCGCGCCCTCCCTCTTCCCTGTCCCCGTCCCTACTTTTCCTGCTCGCTTTCGCTTCACACCTTCATTCTTTGTGCATCCCTCCCGCTTCAACAATTACACATAATGAAGATGTTTGCCAACGTTGGCCGCCAAACACGTGTTTCTAACAACCTACGCGGTGCATGTGTATGTAGGTTGGCGACCGAAGTGTCGATCGAACAATTGGGAAACGGTGCCGCGTCGAAGAAACACACGCGGGCGCTTCCACCGGCAAGCAGGTCAACTTGTGCAAAAGAACTCAAAGTGGGTGCATAGCAACCCACACTCTGAATTCAAAAGTATTGTGATAAAAATTGTGACGACAACTGATCAAGGCATGCTAAAAGAAGAATTGTACACGGGCTACTCCCGGTCCAAAACCAAATTGGTATTCCGATCAAAAATCAAACACATGACACTGCAACGTGATGCGTGAAGCACGCCAGGCCCCAACATTTTGTGATGGACTTCAAGCGCTTGGCAACAACAAAAAACATGCAAAACAGAGTTATACGGATCATGCTTTGCATAGGTCGTATTCTCTCTGTCTTTCCTAGAAGTGTATGATTCGATCAATGTTGTGACGGGCGACTTGCCTGGGTGCATTCATGCCCTCGGTGTCGCCAGAAATGGCATGTGTGAAAAGCGGGCGTTCTGCCGGGTGCGTTTATGCGCATAATGCCGACATATAGGTAACGCTATGTTGCCATACGTGAGCCGAAAGCGATATGGTACGAATGCCAACATATACGTAACGATATCATATCAACAAGCAATTAAGCAACGAAACATATTTTGGTCACAGTATGCGGGTTCCCAAATACGATTGCTACAGGTATCAAAGTGTCCACTAGTACGAGTAGCAATATTTTCGAGCCGAGTAATTTCACAATCGTTCTCATCGATAGAGATCCAGTTGTTCAGATAGTACGACCAGTAGCGTTATGTGTTGCCGCTGCACTGCTCGAGGTTGTAGCGCCACCGCGCCTCTGGGAGCGCCCTGCCTGGTCATGTGCTGCGAGCCTTGCGGCGGGCGCGGCGGCGCAATCGACCTCCGCGATCCCGCCGCGATCGGCGTGGCAGCTGTTGCAGTCTCGCCGCTCCAGTCTGCGTCGCCGGGAGCAGGGCCGCCGGAAAACGCCGCGCCCGAGGAGGAGGCAGCGCCCATGGCAGGCCCATCGCGGCGCGGCGGTGGAGGAGAGGGCGACGGGTAGAGCGGGGGTTGGTGACCCGAGCAATCGCCTGACCGAAGGCTCTGCCCCCCGTAGTGGTCGCAGCTGTGTGATGCCTCGCTCTGGGCCGCGCCAGCGTCGCACGGCCCGGGCTCGCCTCGCCGATCTGGAGGGCGCCCGCGCGCATCATGCAAATGTGCTCATCGAAATTGGCAAGGATGTCGGTGCAAACTATTGTGTCCGTCTGAATTTCGGGTGCTCCTGCCTGGGCCAGCGTCTCAATCCGCTCGCGGGCGTTTCCCCGGGCGCTCAACTCACGACCGAGATCACGGAGGGCCTGATCAGGGATCCCGTGGGCGCTGTTGGTGGCCAGATCGGCGGAAAGAGGGTCACATCCCCTGTCGGTCATCTGATCGGGGAGATGGTCCGTCGCAGTGTCTCCGCGAAATGGACGTGCTGAGGCAGTGCCAGGATGCTCGGCCATGATCTGCTTGGTCTGCTCCACGAGGGCCGCCTCCTTCGCGGCCCTCTCGTCATCCTGCGGGATATCATCGCTATCAGCACGGAGTGCTTCGACGATTTGTCCCTGCGTAGGGGCGGCAGCAGATGCGCAGCTTCCTGGGTCAGACTTGGGCCCTGGCGACTCAAGGGGTCCCTCGGCATCGATCTCTGTCGATGGGCGCGGAAGGTGATTGGCGTCGGCCGCGGGGATAGATGCGCCAGCTTGCTGTGCCTGCGCGGGGCCGTCGTCCGGCCGATCCTGATGCAGCGGGAATGTCGACTGCGGATATCCCTGAAGTGACACGTCGGCCGCATTCAAATCGCCCAACAAATTTCGCAATGCACAGAGTCTCGGACGATTGGAGTTCCATGAGCTATGGCGCGAAAGATCTTTGACAACACACGCGCGCCGGCGGATGCAGGGACCGAGAGAGGGAGAACGAAGGCAGGCGACAACAGTTACAGGCCTGGCAGTTTTAGCGGTCTCCGTCGTCTTCTCGGTCTTCGGGCTGCGAATGGCGCAATTCATGGGGTCGGCGGGTGGCCGAGGTCGGCCAGGTAGCGTCGCGTCGCGCGTTGGTGGCGCAGACTCGGGCGCGCCCGCCGGCGCAGGGGCGCGAAGCGCCAGGTCGCTCACAAGGGGCGCGGGCGCGGGCGTGCCCGCTGGCGCTGAAACGCAAAACGTCAGATCGCTCACGAGTGGCGCGGACGCGGGCGCGTCCACTGGCGCAGGGGCACAAAGCGCCACGTCGCTCACAGGGGGCGTAGACGCGGGTGCGCCCGCAGGCGCAATGGTATCATCCACGCAACACCAACACAGGTAAGGTTACGAATCATCATCTCCATCTCGTCTTCCACCACGCCTGAGACTGGCGGTCACCTGGAGCCTCTGGGCATCGGTTTCTAGGGCCACCCACCCTGCGAAATCCTCGTCGGGACCCCGCCCGCCGCGCCTCCACCGCGCCCCCGCCGCGCTTGGCACCGCCAACCTCCAGGGGCCTCCGGGCGTCGGTTTGCAGAGCCGCCCACCCTGCAAAATCTTCGCCGGGCTCGCGGTGGGGCACGCAACTGGGGCGGCGAAGTATGTTCAACATTGTTGAAGTCGATCTCTGGGATGCGGTTATTGACAATAACCCTGTGCCATTGACCACGTGGTCCTGTAGCAACCCAGTTGAGGACCCCAGATACGTCGGAAGCCGTCGCCTTGCACCAGTTGTCCCACAGATAGCACCGATGGCAGATGGGCAGCTATTCAGCACAATGGCTGAGCTGGATAATTCAATGTGTGGCAGCGGCAGGTGGATGTGCTCGTTGACGATCCTGTCGCCATGGGCTGTTTCCAAAATGTCTTCGCGTCCTCGGTGCACGTCAATTATTTCTTGCTGTGCGAGGTCGGCCTTGTCTTGGATGTGGTGAGCGGGGCCACTGTCCAGTATCCACGTCCGTGACAACGCTGCGATGGACCGCGTCGCCGTGGTAGACTCGGTCGTGGGTGTTGCCACCGACGCTGGGCTGTCGCCGGGTGGCAGGGCTGGCGCCGTGGCAGGTCTGGTTGGGGTGGTACGGTCACCGTGCCACTTCTGCGCCTCGAGCTGGCAGGCTTGGATCGCCTCGGCGCTGTCCTGCAACCGCCAGACCGGCAGCGGTCGTGCGCGACAACGGGGTCACCCTGGTTGGCCACGGCGCGCAATGTGGCCAGTTGCCGTGTGGGCAAAGGGTAGGCGATGGCAAGGATGTTCGCAAGGTCGAATCGTAGGCGCGGTGGTTGTTGGTCAGTGATGATCAAAATCTTTTCACAACACACGGACGCTCGGTCCCGTCGTCGTCGTGTCGCTGCAGGGGATCTATTCCTGTAGCGCGTCGAAGGTGACCGTTCGCTGCTGCTGCTGCTGCCGCCGCTGCTGTCGCCGCGCGAACGTCCTCGACTGCGCCCGCGGCTGCCGCCCCGCGAAGGAGAGCGGGGCTGTTGCGAGCGCCGCGCCTTCCATCGCAAATCCATCGGAACCTGAGAAATCCACCCGCGGCCCCCCAGACTCCGCGCGCCCTGACACCCCCCGCGTGAGGAATGTCGATTGCCCCCGCACGTCCGGGGGTGGACGCCCCGTTGTGGCTGTCCGGATTGTAGGTGCGGCTAGGGCCTCTCTTGGGGGTCTTGGTGTCGGACGCGATGTGGGCGGAGCGGCAATGTTTGCCCTCTTGCAATGTTTGTCTGGGTCGGCAAAGAAGCTTCACTCTGCGGCGTGAGGCAGTCTGCGCCGGTCTTGTCGCGGGCAGGTTTTTTGCGATGGAGCAACAACAATTATTGGCACCTACGTCTTTGGGCGGCCGTTGCGTGCATCGCCCCGTGGAGGATCGTTTCTCGCTGGCGCCCGCGTCGGCCTGCGATGCGCGCCCGCGAGCTCGTGGCGTGGAACGGTTGCCAGAGCCAGTATGTAGCAATTTCCACCGCTCGCAGTTTTTGCAAAGACCTGCCTTATATGCTTCGCGCGGGGCGAATTCGCCACGAGTCGTCTCATTTGCAAGGTCGTGCTGGCAACGTTAGAGTCGGCGCATCTCGATGTTGGCCAAAACACGTTCTCGCAACCAATCGTAGGTGCGATTGGGGTCATTCGACTTCATCTTGTTCTAGTCTTGCATGTCTTGCGTCATCCATGGGCGTCTGCGGATCTGAGCTCAGAACAATGACTCGAGTATCTTCGTGCCCGGTGGATCACGACATTACAAGAGTAAATTGTCACAATCCACAATGAACCGTTGGGGGTTGTCGTCCCGCATGCGAATAGGTTGGAGACGTTCGAAGTCGTGCATGGTGTCGTCGGCGTCCATGACCTTGTAGGAATGTGATCTAACCCAGTAGGTACATCTACATTTCAGCATGCGGCCTGCTTG